AAGCACCTAGCATAAAGGGTCGAACTGATCTCACTAAGCAGAGACAGGTGTGAATTTGTTTCTGGTTGGCCGTAGGTTAAACCAGCATGCTGCTAATGAATCATAATACACGATGTTTTGGATCGTCTAATATCTTTATGCCAAGTCTAGTCGACGATTGAACCCGTTTACGAGTGATAATGTTCTCTTCCTAATCTAGATTACGAAACAAAGCACCCGTAACCCGGACCACCCTCTGTCAAGATATGGAAGTAAAGAAGCGCGCATATTGTACTGAAGGCCGTACGCATGTTTTTCTGAAACAGCGTTTTGATAATTGACAGAGGCAACTTCAGCGTAGGGCCGTTTCCAGAAACGTCCCTTTATTCATTGGCACGTAAACGACAGATATGCCATGAAAATTTTCTTCGCCCTTTCATATAAATCAAAGCTGGAGTGCAGTCAGTTGTCGTTGTCGTCATCTGAGGCTGACAGAGCGTAAAAATCACAGTAACCCAGTAATTCATTGTCATACCGTTACAAACCGTATTTCACGTTGATATTAAGCACGAAGCCAGCATTCTTCTTTTTCACGGGCCTATCAGACAGATAGCTGGCGCTTTTCGGCTTTAGTGTATGATCACATCTCTCAGCCATACCATTTCACGTCACGACCACACTCCCATATCGGTGATCAGACAGTGGACAGGAATGAATGACGTATGTCATCGTCGAAAGCAGAAATGAGTTCGGATCATTCACGGGAGATGGTCGTTGACTGGTACTCTCGCGAGTGAAGTATACCGCTGGGTCATCTACCATGAAGCTGGGAAGATTATAATAGGAATCAGGAAGGCCGTTTGTAATGCTTTAATTTATTCCATAAAATTATAATTATATAAATATACGACTATGATTTTATTCAAAAGTAGCGTCTGTGACTTTCGTATTGTTCACAGGGGTCTCCGACTGCTAATACTTATATATCGCAGTCTGAAGTTTAAATTACTAAACTTGAATATGCGTTGTAGATCCAGAGCAAGGGAATGAAAACTACTTGGCTCAGTTCAAAAAGCTAGCCGACGCTGTCGAAGAT